CTGCTGCTGCTGCAGCAGCAAACGGGCAGCGCGGTGCCGCGTACTGGTGGTGGCTTGAAGAGCTAAGAAAACATCAGCTGCTAGCACCACAACCAACAGCAGCAGCAGCAGCAGCAGCAGCAGCACCAGCAGCAGCAGGAGCAGCAGCAGCACAATCACGATCATCACCATCATCAGCAGCACCACCATCAGCAGCAGCAGCAGCAGCACCAGCAACAGCAGCAGCAGCAGCACCACCACCACCACCGCCATCAGTAGCACCACCAGCAGCAGCAGCACCAGCACCAGCACCAGCAGCAGCAACAGCTGCTGCTGCTGCTGCTGCTGCTGCTCGTGGTTTGCCTGTTGTTTATATTTCTGTTGAGCCCCCCAACCGCAGCAGCTATTTGGGGTGTATATACACCGCAGTGCTGCAGCAGCAGCAGAATTTATTGTTGTTTACTCCTTCTTTGTCTCCTTTTTCTTTCTTTTCTATCACTCAACAAAACAACTATAACCCTATATGTATACAATGTCCTGCTGCTGCTGCTGCAGCACAAGCAGCAGCAGCAGCAGCAGCAGCAATAGAAGCAGAAAAAAAAGCAGCAGCAACACCACCTTCAAACCCATCATCATCATCACCATCATCAGCATCAGCAGCAGCAGCAGCAGCAGCAGCAACACCACCACCAGCACCAGCACCACTACCATCAGCAGCAGCAGCAGCAGCAGCAGCAGCAGCAGCAGCAGAAAAGGGATGGAGTGAAGCAGGCTGGCTGCTGTGGGCTGAGCTGCAGCGCCAAATTACTTTCGGGGTTTTATCTCCCCCTGTCTTCTTTGAGTGCTTCGATCCAGCAGCAGCAGCAGCAGCAACAGCAGCAGCAGCAGCAGCAACAGCAGCAACAGCAGCAGCAGCAGGAGCAGGAGTAACAGGAACAGCAGCAGCAGCAGCAGCACTAACGTCATTATCATCATCAGCAGCATCACCAGCAGCAGCAGGAGCAGCAGCATCAGCATCAGCAGGAGCAGGAGCAGCATCAGCAGCAGCAGCAGCAGGAGCAGCAGGAGCAGCAGCAACAGCAGCAGCAGCAGGAGCAGCAGCAGCAGCAGCAGGATTTGTTTCTGTGTCTTCATTGTTATCTCTCCCTGTTTTACTTTCTTCTTTTTCTTTTGCTGCTGCAGCAATTTGTAAATACTTAAAAAAAATAGAAATAGAAGCAGCAGCAACACAATACCCCTTTTCAGGTGTATCCCCAGCTCAAAGACTCTATACTCTCCTCCAACAAAACAAGTGAGGGTTTAGGGTTTAGGGTTTAGGGTTTACGGTTTAGGGTTTAGGGTTTAGGGTTTAGGGTTTAGGGTTTAGGGTTTAGGGTTTAGAGGGGACGGGGTAGGGGTTAGGGTTTAGAGGGTATGGGGTTTAGGGTTTAGGGTTTAGGTTTTAGGGTTTAGGGTTTAGGTAGGCCAACTCCTTGACGGAGCTCCAGCAGCAGCAGCAGCAGCAACAGCAGCAGCAGCAACAGCAGCAGCAGCAGCAGCAGCAGCAGCCACAGCAGCAGCAGCAACAGCAGCAGCAGCAGCAGCAGCAGCAAAAACACTAAAACCAAACCCAACAACAAAAAAAAACTAAAAAAAAAAACTAAAAACAAAAGTAATATATATCTCTGAGTGTGTGTATATATAAACAGTTTTTTTCTTTCTTCTCGGTGCTGCAACAAGGAGACAAAGGAGACAAAGGAGACAAAAGAGAGAAAGGAGACAGTATATATATGTCGTTTTTTATTGTCTCCTCTTCGTGTTTATTGTGTTGGTGCTGCACCTGACAGCAGCAGCAGATTGCTGCGGCTGTTTGCTGCTGCTGCTGCAGCAGGAGGATTTGTTAGAGTTTCACTCGTAGATGATGCTTTCTCTCCTCTCTTTATAAACAATAAACATGTATGTTTTTTCTGTCTCCTTTCTGTCTCCTTTCTGTCTCCTTTCTTTCTTTTTTATATTTTTTATCTTCTTTGTCTTTCTTTTCTCTTTTTTCTCTCTTTTTTTCTCTTTTTTTTCTCTTTTTTTTCTCTTTTTTTTTATTTTTTTTTGTCTCTTTTTTCACTCGTAGATGATGCTTTCTCTCCTCTCTTTATAAACAATAAACATGTATGTTTTATTTATTTCTGTCTCCTTTCTGTCTCCTTTCTGTCTCCTTTCTTTCTTTTTTATGTTCTTTGTCTTTCTTTTCTCTTCTTTCTCTCTTTTTTTCTCTCTTTTTTCTTTTTTTTTTGTTTTTTTGTTTTTTTTTTCCCTCGTAGACGATGCTCTCTTAGCTCTCTTTATAAACAACAAGCAAGTATGTTTTGTTTTTTTTTCTTTTTTTTTTCTTTTTTTTTCTTTCTCTCTCCTTTCTCTCTCTTTTCTCTTTTCTTTCTTTCTTTTCTATCTGCTTTGTTTTCTTTATCTTTTTTTTCTCTTTTTTTTCTCTTTTTTTCTCTTTTTTTTCTCTTTTTTTCTCTTTTTTTTCTCTGTGCTTTTCTCTTTGTGCGTATAGAGAGGGTTTGATGTATCTGACCGTCTCCTTATTCGTGGTTTATATGCTATCAACCCTAAACCCTAAACCCTAAACCCTTCTCTCTAAACCCTAAACCCTAAACCCTAAACGCCTCTCTCTAAACGCTAAACCCTAAACCCTAAACCCTTTCTTTTTTTTTGTATGTATAGAGAGGGTGTGGTGTATCTGAAA